TTGTCAAAAGCCTCCTGTATGCCTAAAAACCATAACATTGGATTTCTTGTAATTAAGTGCTTTAGTTGTGTTTTGCCACCAACCTTAGGATTAGCGGAGTGGTAAAGTGGCTCCTTCGGAAACCAAAATAAGAAACTAGGGTTTCCTTATCAACGAATTTTACAACCTTAAAGGAAGCACAGCACCTGCAACTTTTCCTGCAGGAAAATAAGCTGACAAGGCGATAATCTTTAGCGTAGCTGCTTGGACGAGCTGTTCTTGGTATGAAAAGCAACTTTAGCTTGCTTTCATCCTAAGATAAATAACCATGGGTAATAATCGAGTTAATGAGCCCAGCAAGGTAATTAATTACGGTTGCAGGAAGACTTTTTCTAAGCATTTTTATATGAAATTTTACCAGAACCAACGCTTTTCCTAGGGTTAAGTTTGTTGATTGTAGATTGTATCTCATCTTTATTCGGTAAGGGTTCCAAAGTAGGTAATGGGCTCCTACAACGGGAAAAAAAGTGAAATTTTTCTCTTGTATGCGCACTTCCTGTTTTCTGTCCACAGATAATTGTGTTGTACATTACCCGTGTGAATTTGCAGCATAAAAGTTTCCTTTTTGAAGTTTGCGTAGGTAACTTCCCAGTTCTTGATTATAGAGATCCAGGATTGAACACATTTAGCATTTCCACAAAGTGTTATAGGTATGAGTTAAGGATTACAGTTTTTTTTTGTTAGTTTCCATATTATGTTTTGAAAAGCTCGCAATTCTCGTTTAACAAGCTTACTAATCTTTTTAAAGACCAGGGGCCTTCCTTTCAAGTATTCTCACTTAAGCGGCGTCTTTTAACAATAAGTTCTTTGATGTGAACAGGAACTTCAAGATTGAAGTTTTTATAGGGTTTAAACATGGTTACGTACTTAAATGACTTCAAAGACAGAGGCAGCCTTGTTAATCCGAAATAACATGAGGGATAAGGAAAGGAGGTCGCTTACAGATTTCTTAATGGTACAATCAGTAATTTTTACAAATTTCTCAGTTGTGTCCAAAAAATTATCTCCAACTTCTTGCAAGTCTGGGCAAGGGTCAGATGACAATTCGTAGAGGGTTTTAGCATGTACATGTACACGTACGTCTTTTAAAAGGGTTATCCATTTCGCCCCTCGGCCCTTGAGTTCATAGGTGTGTAGGTTCAGAAGAAGCTAATACTAACACATCATCCCCTCCCGCCCAAAATTCTAGCATTTACCGTTAGGATTATCGACTGTTCTCTTTCATGAAGGGCGTTCACAGTTTAAGTGTCCGAAACAATGACTGAATGGCCTTGTCAAACAACTTAACTTAAATCTTATACATCCAGATTTTTATTCGGAGATTCATAAGTAGATAAAATGTTCACAGAACCAGAATACCCAAGTTTAGTAAGGATGTCAGTTGATTCTACACTCTGTACCTCAAAATATTCCAAAGAGGAGTGTCTCACGTCCTTTTTTATAAGAATGACTGCACCTTTTTCCCCCCACATCATAACTATCTTACCGATAAGCTTTGTAATTTGGGGGGTGCAAAACCTACCACCACTCTTCAGATGAGTTTCCGATAGCAGCGCAAGGTCATTATCCAACCAATTAATTTGTGTAGTTCTTGTTTTTAGTCTGAGACCCCGTTAGCATTCCATAGAAGTATTTTAAAAAGGTTTACAATATTTTTTTCATTCATTGTCGATCGTTTTATTATAAAAATAAGTCGCTTATCGATCCAGGGGTTTAAATGCTGATGGCTTAGGTACTAACAATTTTTGTTATCTATAACTTCATTTAAGTTTAGTGGAAATTTATGCAGCTTTGTCTGCAGTCGCCTTGGCGTCGGGTATGTTTGGTGTAACAACATTGTCCGGTGACAGAAGTGACCGACCGGTATTCAATAAGTTATTTCTAAAAGTGCAATTTTAGGGTAGTAAAGGCCACCTCCGAGAGCTAGCAGGCTATTCACCCTTGCAGTTGGCACATGTTGAATTCTCAATTTTTCTTTTAGGCACGTTTAGATTCATTGATTTTCACCGCATTTAACACATCGGTATGGGTAAATACAGAATATATAGGTGTTCAAAGGTTCAACGGAGATGTATATGAGTTTAATATTTTTAATATTTAAAATAGTACATTCACTTTTGGGTACTTTAACTAAAGCTAAGATTGATGGGGATCCTTGACAATATTTCCGCATTTTATAATCTCAATAGACCTGGTTTTCTAAGTCTTCTTTAATGTCTTCTACATTTATCCTCAAGCCACCACGAAAGACTACCTTTCTTAGTCCTTCTCGGAAGATGCAAAGACCCTTATTCCATGTCTCCTATTCTTCGCCATTAAAATCTCATAATTATTAGTTCTTAATAACTTGTGCACCCTACTCCAAAACTTTCTGTTGCGTGTTGTTGTAGGTGAAATTATGCATTTTTTATGGGGTGTATGATTATTAGTATCTTTATCGTCATTGGTACATTTGTTCAAACGTTGTTAGTCTTGCTGGCCCACAACTACTATTATTATTAATATTGCTACTAATTTTAGTGTTATTATTTTATATATTACTGTTATCATCGTTATTAATATTATTTCTGGTATCTACATTATTAATTTATTACCTTTTAAAAAGTTGACTATTATATTTATTTTAATTACTATTAATACAATTATTACTACCATGTAAATTACAATTACTACTAGAGGGGAATCTCTTTCATTTTACTGTCCTCCAACGTGTCCTCTTTATAAGCCCAAACCTCGTCTAAAATTATTTGTAATGCGGAATAAGGATTAGCATTTGTAGCTCCCAGAATAGTCTTTAGTCCTTACAAACCTTTCCCCATTTCTTGATATTTTTTCAGAATTATGTTTTCTTTCCTGGTGAATAACATATGCTTTAAGCATCAAACTTTTTTTTTTAAAATCGGAGTTCGCAGCTAACGGATCGGCGATAAGTTATTGTTTTTCTGTATTAGCGGAAGAACTACCCATAACGACCTTAAAAAAAAAAAAAGTAATATATAGAATAAAGATGGTTACGCAAAAAAAAATATTGTAAAATAAAAAGAATAATATTATTAGTGTCTTTATTATTAGTTTGCATTGCTTATATACTGAAATTTTAATAGTATTTTATAAAGATTAGAATACTAAAATTCCAAAATTTTTATTTTGAGTTTTTTTTTTTTCATAACGTTTTTTAAATGAAAGTATCACAGGCTATCAGTTTAGCTTAGAATTTTTTATAGATTATAAAATAAAATCAATCGAAAAGCGCAAGGGTTCACCCTTTTAGTTACTTTTTTGTTAGGCACTAGCACGCTAAGGGCAGTCTTAAGCCGCGAAACCTGTTCTCTTTTGCAGAAATTGGGGCACGAGCCCCCACCAGTGTACGCTCTTTATAGAGCTATAATGAACGGAAAAGCGGTAGATACCCGGCCCGGTCTCCTACCATTCGGACTAGTGAGATGAATAACCGCTAAAAACATCACCGGGAGAGCAACCTAAAGCACAAGCCCCGAGGCCACCAGAAGACATCGGCCAGCGCCACTGCAGCCAGGCCTCCCCGACTAAATCTGGGAGTGGGAGCCCCAGTCTCTCCTCTGGTCCCCTCCTCTTCCGACGCTACATACTATAACACAACACAAGGCGTAAAAACAATTAGCCTAGCACAAAGCTAACCCAAGTGCTACAAAAGAGTAAAATTAAAGTTAAAAACTAATAGGGGCAAGTATAATTAGTGGTGGAGCTAATTGATCTCTTCAGAGGGCCTAGGATTCGGGGCCGACTTTTTGCCGTAGTGGGTTTTCACTGTATTCAATTTCGCTAGGCCGAATGGCGGTAGGTCCGAGCCCAAGATACCTCCTCTGTTTTTCAGTCCTTGCACAGCCCTTATATATACTTCTTCGAAATCATACATTGGTGCGCACTCATGCTTCGAAAAGACAAGAATACTAATTAAGTAGTTTAAGATCTATAAACATACCGACTGTAGTATGCCAGTGTTTAAAAAAAAATAAAGAAAAGAGTTTTATTTATTTCTTTAAGCTTTCTTATGAACTAAGAGCTCTATCCATAAAGATTTTAGCACTAAATTGGTACTTGCTTCGCTAGAAGTAATGACACTATAGGATTGCAAGGTTCTGTGAAGATAATAAAAACTTAATGACGGAAGAACTCGAACAAAACAAAATAATTATTACATATTGAATGACTAGGCATTAGAAATGAAAGAATTTAAAAATTTTAAAAACTAGAACCATTTATACAGCTCTTCCCAGGAGACTAGATATTTATCTTAATTAATTAATATTAATTTTTTAATTTATACCTCGCTGTTTTAAATATTAGTTTTGATAATGCGTCCCGAAAAATAAAGTAACTGGTATATATTGTTAGTTGAGCTTTACATAAAATTTCCTATACAGAAAACTTGATAGCGAAAATAAGAAGTGAAGCTTATTCTCTTGCGACGTACACGAAGATCGGAATGTTTAGTATTTGAGCGGATTTATGTCACCAAGCCTAATAACTTCAAGGTATATCCCATTTTGAAGTGGTTAACAAAGAGAACTAGTGTAAATAGAATTAGAACTATTCTTTTTGCAGCTCTTAATTGGAAACACCCAGAAGAGTTAGCAAGTGACAGCTTAATATGTGGATTACGAAAAAGTAAATGACCTAATTAGCGCTTTTAATAATGTTTGCCTCGGGGATTTTTTTTAAGACTTTTATCAATTTATTTAATTTACACTTGCACTATCGGGCACAATTATAACAGGTTAAATACGTAAAGCCATCATACTGAGATTGGGAGATCTCATTGTAGTTCAGCGATTAAGAACATTGGCGCGCATAACTCAAGGTCTTTTCCGATTTCCATTGATTCACTTTTCCAGTCTTTTGTGGGTTGCATATTTAACCTCGCCCCTCAAGGCCAAATACGTTGTATATTCATTTACTGGCCGCTCCTCGCCCACTATGCCCTTGATCTATTTGAGCTAGTTACATTAATATTTACTTAATAATGGTTGTAGTATTTAATATCTTCTGTAGATTTATTAAAATAAAAAGTTATTCTCAAAAATTAAGTAAATTTTTAATATTTGTTTGTTGTACTTCTATTTATTAACTTCCTCTATTTAGACTCGAAACAGGTCGTTAAAGGATGTTGGTAGTAACTACCTTTCGGGTATGATAATCATTCAGTTGGAAAGAATTTGTAATCAATATTTTTTTATTAGAAAAAAAAGACAAAATAATAGAAGCTATCAGAGTAGGTAACACTAACGTAATAAGACAGGTACTTTTAATCAAATAGCTTACTATATACATGATTGTTATGCCCGCACTTAATTTCAAATCTAAAGTATTGTGTTAAAACTTTATTTATAACCAAATCATACTGTACCTCCGCCTAATACTTTACAGAACATTCTTGCAACTCAAAAAAAAATTAATTTTTTAAAACCTTATTTTTCGTTTATCGCGTAGTTGGCCACTTCCAAATTCGGGTTGATGCACCCCAAGCTGCGCGCCCAGGCCTGGCCGTTATTATTAGGTCTCAGGCGCGAGGAACTGATGGTGAACTGGAGTTACCAGCGTAGAGGTTAATCATATTATCCCGGGTTTATAATAAAATTCCTTAATCACTTTTAGCGGAAACACGGGATAAGCAAGCTGCTCTCGACACCAAACGGTCTTATATAAATTTCCCCCCGGGTATCTTCTTGGTAGGCTCTATTAAATCATTGTTAACGCAGTCAACAGAGTTGTCCTTCTCTGAACGAAAGGAACTTCGAGAAGAGCTTCTTGTCATCATCAATGAGACGCTAGCTCGTAACACAGATCTTGTTTACTATCAAGTATAAGCTCGTTACTACGGCATTCATGTTGATTTACAATTTTACACCTCATAAGGGCTTTCACGACTTCTGCTCTGTTTTCCATCGCGTTCTTGGCAAAGAGTCAGCAGTTCATTGCGTAGAGCGTCTATCCTCCTCACTAATAAGGTTTGCTGCTGTTTTCTTTCTTCGGATAAGTAAAACTTTAAATTACTTAAATATGGCAAAGGGACTTCTTTGCGTCGGATTTAGCGCCTGTTTTATCCCTGATACAGCTATTGACTCCTCTTCTAAGAAAACTTGACTTTGATCTCTACCAACACTTCCAAAAGTAGTTTTTTTGCTTTAAGCTAATATATGACTTCGCAAAAAGTTATTTACTGTTGCTACTGCATTCATAATTAGATAAGGCATAGACTTATCTTCAGACTAAACTATTTTCTTATAACATCTTTTTATTCAAATTCTAGGGGGGGGCACTTCGATTTTGCGGGCACCACCATCTCTTGGATATTAACGTGGTTAGTACGCATCCCAACGAGAATAATTTTTTAAGCTCCCTATTCGTAGGATAGATTTTTTTTCTTTATTCGAAACCGACTGCTGGGACTTTATAGCTTTAAAAATTCGTGTTGTGCCTTTTGCAAGCAGAAATAATAGCAGAGTAATTCTACCACAATTACTCAATAACTATTAAATAATTTTTAGGTTATTGCTCACCACTTAAAATGTATGTAGACCTCCATGGCTGACCCAAGTTCACTTAAAATTGTAAATAAGAAAAATTACTTTATATTAGAGGAATGTTTCTTTATTCTAAACGGCGAAAATAGGTATTTCCAAGTAAAGAGCAAACTTAAACGATTTTCAAAACCATATGCCATTCATTAGAGGCTAAAACTTTAATTCTGTGCTAGGTCGCTAATAACCTGGTAACCTTTGAGAGATAAGAGTGAGTAGATATAGTAATTTATCCCCGTACAAGGTTTCCTCATTATAAAAGACATTGTTTTTTAAGTCGATCCATTGAAGTTAGGGTGCTAAATATAAAATATTTAAGGTAAATAGGAAGTAAAAGAAGAAAATATTCCTTATTAACTATTGTCTAAAGGTGTTCCTCAGAGAAAAAGTACTATCGGGATTAGTGAATGGAGCAACTCAAGGTGGATCGAGTTGTGCAACTTTTAATAGTAGCATTTCGACTCGAGAAAAGCGAAATTTTCCCATAATTTTTCCTTTCCTTGCTCTATACTTGATTTACCACATCCCATGTCCAAAAAGGGAATAAATGAATAATATTTGTATCACTTTGTTATAGTGTAATAATAATTATTTAATTCACCTTTTTATTATACTTTGACGAGTATTAACATAGTCGTATAATATCCTGTATACGGGGCCCAAGTTCTTTTCGTCCCTCAGTTTTCTAGTTAAAAAATCAGTGAACTTTACGCATAAATGAAATTAAAAGCAGTGAATTGTCGGGTACAGCAGCAATAATATTACTAAGATCGCTTTCTATATTTTATTACTTTAAGATTTTTTCACTTATTAGCGTAACTACGGTCGCTATTAGGTTTTCTCACGACATCCAAGCTACAAGCCGAATTTCCACTCTGTTTGACTTATTTCTTGCCTACCCTCATCCATTAGTGATCATTTACGCTTGTGCGGCCGTAATTAGCTATAGTCCCTTTGCTTTTACCTCTCATAAGTTTTAAATCTATTAAGGTGTTAATAGACTGTCGAAAGTTAATACTTCAAACCCCATGTGAGTATACGGAAATTTTTCGGATTGTAAAAGCATGCCCAGAAAAGGTTATAAACATTAAGGGTAAAAATCTTATTGGTAACTTATATAAGTTTGACTGTCAAGGCTGATGTGGAACAGGTAGTTTCGGCGACTTTAGCCTACCTAGTATATTATAAACCTACAAAACTCCTGGAGGACGCCAAGTTTAACACCGCTCTTTGGTTGCTTACGCTTCGCTTCACATACACTTGCACTCATTCGCTCAAGTTTATTATAAATTTAGTTCCTCTGTTTCGAGCTATCCATTCACCTGGATTAATGACAGGATTTTTGAGCAAAATTTATTAGCTGGTAGAAAAGTTGCTTGTTACCTACCAAAACAGGTACAACTGGTTGTTATCTCCCTCTGAAGGTCTATTTTTAAGCTTACCTTGAAAGCAGAGAAGTAAAATACTTCTACAAAGGCTCATGATTACGGCCATCTCTGCGTCAACTTTAATCTCAAGTATAGTAGCCCTCTATTACCTAAGTCAAGGTTGTTCTGTGCGAAGAAGTATTATTCAAGCTTTTCTTTACTCATTTTAACTTATGTATATGAGCCAATAAACAATACCTACAATCTTACACAATAACTGGTTTAGTCCCATTTTGAGTTTAAACGATTTACTTGCTTATAAAGTTTTGCTAAAAAAAAAAGAGTTACAGTTAATTTGATACACTTTTCAATCATCTTTGCAAGGAAATCAGTTTTAAGGACGCCTGTAATAAACTTGAGTTACGTTACAAGTAGTGTTTATTTTTAAAATTAATCTTCTCCTTTTTTATAAACCTGCTTTTACGGAGTTGTTAAACTAAAATAGATATTTGACAAGCCATAAATCAGGTTCCAGATATTTAGTTCAGTACAAAGCTATTATGTGAAATGGGTAAATTAGTACAGCTATCAACTAATAACTAAGGTAGCTCATTTTCGAAACAGTTTTTTTATCAAAAGATTGCTTATTAATTAATTTTACACGAACATGCTAGATGCTAGTTAAAAAAAATTAAACTAATTAATTAAAAGCAAATTAAAACTTGTTTATACCAAAATAAATTCTAAGCTTTATAAGGTTAACGTTTAATATATAGATTAAACAATAATAAGTTATAATGGATGACACTGTTTTCCCTTTTATTGTTAATAATGTTAGTCCTCCCTCCACGCCAATCAGTGTGTTAAAGTTAACCTTAACAAATAAATTCCTGTGCCTTGAGGCGGGCGCCCACTTTTTGGCGAGGTTGGAAACTTAATAAAGTACACAACTGTCTTTGAACGCATCACTAAAGGAAAGTATACCAAAGTAAAAGTACTAGAACCCAAGGTAGGACTCCACGACTGGTCATTAAGCAAGGTAACTACCACAGCCCACCGTTTGGCATGTTAAATTTTTAAAATGAACGTGCTTACAATTGAGCTCGAGGTTTTTAAGGATGACGACGGTGAAAATAAATTAAGCAGAACCCTTGGCTTAAAAATATGGAGCTCCTGTCAGCATTGCCGAGCTTGCTAACCGTTAAAACGGATTAATCGCACCCCATAGTTGCGGTCCACCTTAACAAGCGTTCAGAAAGAATTATGTAATGCTACTGTTTATGGGCTTGTTGGAAGTATTAAAGGCTAAAAAGTAGAAGGCTCAAAACTATGTTTTAACAAATACTGCTTCGTGTTACTAATAACCCTTTAGATCGCTAATGAGTGTGTTTTGCTTGCTTGTTTGGTTTAGTTTGAGTTTTAATCAACTAGTAAACCCTGCAGGCCAACACAAGGCAGAGAGGCGAGAAATAAGAGAAAAACTGCATACATCTTTTAAACGTATATGTATATATATATGGCCCGCTAGTGCAATAATCATACGTTTTTCAGGATAAATGACATTAATTAATTACCTTTCACAGTCTTTTAATCTAAAAAATGCATTAAAGCAATTTCCTAATGTTTTAAACCTTCAAAATTGGTTACCAAGAAACCTTTAGAACAACTAATAACTACTAATAATAAAATGTGTACGCACTGCTCTACCTTTTTGTGTTTGCTTGTTAAAATGTAGATATTGTGTTACTCAGGTGCTTTAAAAACTATTAAATGAATTATTTTAGTGCATTAAAGCTTAAATCCTCTAAATAACATTAGTGGTATATTATTTATTAAATGGTTATTTAGAAATATATTACCCCACTTTTCTGTCTTTACTATGTCAGTTCTTAAAGCTAGCCGTTATAATACAACATAAGTGAAATTTGAATGAAATTGAACACTTCAGTACCTGATGAATGGCTATATTTTGAAGTCAGGAAAAATATTCTATTACAACCAAATAAGCCTGCTTTATATAAATAACCCCTAATATGGCTACATACTTAAAAGTTGCAAAAACTTTAGTTTACACTTTTGAAATTATGTTAGCCTGTAAAATTAATGGAAAATGGAAAATAGTCAAAATAGCTTTTTAATCTCCAAAGAGCCTGAAGGAATCATGGCATACTTGAGATCCCCTTTTTATGGATCCGTAGTTAGGAAGTGCATATAACTTTGTGAGGGCTGTTGTAAAATTGTGTGCAAGTTAGCGGCACGGCTCGAGGGATTTTTTTTCTTCAATCGCGTGGTTGCGGGAGTGGGGGACCTGCTTCTTGCATTGAGTAGCGTGGCTGGGCTAGTGAAATTAATAAATTATAATATATGGTTCTTTATTATAAAATGGTCACTAGACTGGATAGTGTTAGTGCGCTAAAATAACAAACCCTCAATTATTTTTAACAGAATTCTATAAATGGTTTTGAGTGATGTCATGCTTACAACGCAAATTAAAGGTTAAACGAACGCCACAAGTAAGGTGCTGAAATTGGATTTGAAGTTTTTTCCAAATAGTTTTCAGAGGGAAGAGTAATTTGTAGCATTGTACTGTAAAATATTGGTAATTTTTTTAACTATCTAAGGCGCAATGTTTGACTACAAGAGCTTAATAAACTATCTCTGAGAAGGATAATATTTAATACATTGAAGCTTAGTAACCTCCCAAGTGTTTTAGGGGAACATCTAAGCTCTGTTAAGTTATATATTTGTAAAAAGTAGAACAGAGTTTGTAATTAACAGCGAAACTAATTCACCGGAACCACATCATATCCTTTCAAAAATTACTAGAGTGGTGTAATTATAAGTCCCCACTCCTCTTATTTTTAAGCTCTTTGTCCCATGATTACTCCGCTTAATTTTAACTTTTGCTCATGTACATATATGTACTTGATCAGCTATAGAAGAGCTTGAATTTCATTTACTCTCTTTTTAGTGAATTTTTTGGGCTTGTCCTCTATTTTTTTCTGTTCTTAGATATTTATTATGTCCCCTTTTGTAACTTTATTTTAAATAAACTTTATATATTTTCTGTTAATAACTCTTTTTTTTAAGCGTGCAACGCCCTTACACCACAGATTTGGAAATCTCTGTTCGTTGCTTTAAAATAATCCCTATTGGTTAGTCTCCACTTTTACCCGTGTACCTCATTAAATTTAGTACAAGACAGCTTGTTTCTACACTGAACGACAGCTGGAATCTCCTTTTCAGTACCACTCTCTACGCCACGAAATAGCTGACGCATACATTCTTTCTAAAGTGGAATGTTATTTTATTTATCCAATGAGCTAGGAATTAAACTTCTTTTCTGTTATAAATTAGTTTCCTCCCTTTTTTAACTGCTTAAAAATATATTGATAAGCTGTACAATTTAAACAAAACTTTAAGTTTAAAATTTTTAAAAAAATTAATTAAAAGTAAATAGATGATATAAGACAAATTAGTAAAAGCTTATAAGGTATACAAAAGCAATTCATAAATTAATTTGATAATTTTAACAAAGAAATATGGTATAAGTGAATAGCGTGCTTTACATATTTCAGCGAGATGTAGAATATTAAAGAGCTTAAGGTTATTGCGCTTAACGAAAATCAAAAAGAGAATTCATCAGTTTTCGGGAATAAAAATTGACGAGCACACTTCCTATACAACATCTGTATTGTCCTTATTATTCATGTATTTTTACTAGGTTGCTCTAGATTCGAATCTTTGTCCTTCAGTGTTGAAGAACTAGTTCAGCAAACTCTATCTTGCTTCCCTTTACCGGCTTCAATTAGGTATGCTATAGCTTAATCACTAAGTACGCGTTAGAATACTAAAACTAACATAAAGAGTAATTTCTCTAAATAACAAATAATAACAGTGTGATAACTAGAAAAAGCACGTGGTTAATAAGAAAAGTCAGTACTACAGCGTCTGAATGTTGTGAGGCCATTTCTGGTAGCTGCGTTATGAAGTTATTATTTTTTTATATATACAGTTATTGTCTGCTTATAGTTTACAAAGAACACTCTATAGCGGAGTTAGCTTTCGTTACAAAAAATCGCTATCATTAAAGCGTGAAAACTACGGTTCATAAAATCAAATATAGTACAGAAATTGACTTTAGTATATACCCTAGGTCATAAAATATTTAAAAAGTTTGTCATTATCTTCTCTAAGTTGTGAAATACATTAATTAGTTAGCACAATTTGTTTCACAAAACTTTACTTGTAGTCCTCAACCTAAATTATAATATTTATACTATAAACAAAAAGAATAAAAACAAACGGAAAAAAAATAAAATAATTTTTGCCATTATAATATATATATTTTTAATTAAAATTTTTTAGATTTGAAGAATTAAAAATGCTCAAAAAAGGATCAGGGCGGTAATTTTCAGAATTATTTATTGTTACTTTAAGTTGGTTAGGAAAAATTACTCATTAATGGATGCAAAAAATACTTTAGCTGGAAATAGAGCCCTATCAAATTAGATCTTCTAGTTAAATGGGATTACTTTTTTTAAATAAAATGATTTTTAGTAAAGTCTAATCACATCCAATACGCTTCAAATAATACATAGATATATATATATATTATTGTAAAACAGAAAAAAAAAATTATTTTAATTGTTTTTTGTTAGATTTAAAGTTATTTAAAAGCATACTCAAATTTATATTACTTTTAGTTACTAGCTGATTATTTAAGGTGACTTTAGTAGAGGTTATTATTTTCTAAGAGTTGAGTAATCCGATAAAATTTTTTCTTACTTGTTACTATTCTTGTTAATACGGTGCTATAATTTAAGCATTAACACTTTGCGTAGGTAGTTTAAAATATTAAAAATCAGAAATTCTAAAAATAATTGTATTATAAGTAGGGATTAAACTGCCTTTTATTTCAAAATATTTTCGGGTTAAGGGTATGGAACTTTCTGAGCATATATTAAGAGCTCTCATGTATAGCTAAACTTCCCCAAACGTAAATTTTTATTAATGACTAATTTCAGATGCTTGATATTTTTCGAGTGTAGCCTGTTAGTACGGTGTTCGTCAGGAGTACAGTATCAGAAATGCTTTCATAACTAAATTTTTGAACACCTTAAAATCTGCTTTTAGGTCAAAAAGGGGTTTAGGGAGGTTAGGGTTAACTTTTTCGTTCTTAGAAAAAGTTAGAAACATGGAGGGCCGCTCGTAAATTTGTCAAATCGCTTGAAGGTAGCAGTCTTTGAAATGACTAGTGAAAAAGTTCAATTAGAGCTGCAAAAAGCTATTAAAATAGAGTTAAATAAAGAAGAAAATAAAACCTGTGCCGACTGCTCCGCTAAAGTTAAGCTCTTTTTTCTTTTCATTTTTAGTAAAAGTTTATCTTTTTTTAGGGCCAAGATGGGCATCCACGAATTTAGGTGTGTTTTTATGCATCGCTTGTGCGGGTATAAAGTGTCTTACTTGCTCATTAGTAGTAGCTTTTTTATCCTCTACACCAAGGTCATCACCGAAGCTTGGGGACGCATGTAAGTCGTATTAAATCTACCACTCTAGACTCTTGGAAACCTGAAGAAGTGATCATATCCTTTTTTCTGTTCTTATCTTTTCAAATATTATTAAGAACAGGTAGAAACCATGAAGTGTGTAGGAAATAAAAAAGCTAATGAGTATTATGAGCACTGTTTGGACCCTTGGTTTCTTAAGATAGATCAACTAGACTTTATAAAGCGCAAGTACGATAAAAAAGAATGGGTTGAGGTAAATATTCTTATCTTCATTAAATTTTAATTGGACCAATTATTATGTTTGGCTATTAGCGTAGTCAGTTGAAAACGTTCCCCCGAACTAAAAACCTGATTCTTTCTCGGAGACCTACCAATAAATACGACCGACAAGCCGTCCAACTGCAAAAGTATACAAAATCTATTAATTTGTTTAAAAAATGTGGGCATCTTTTATATATTTGTCAAAAAAAAATTTTTAGGCTTACTTTGTAAAGAAATTTATAATTGTAAGCTTCACTTTATTAAACGTGTGCTTTTTAGAATCGTTATAAAACTTCTATTTGAAATTGAATGGTTAGTGTATGTTTTACCTACTAAAGTAAGGTTTATTTTTTTTGATAATAAAGCACTATCTATTTCAAATTCCGAATATTCTTTTCCTAGTACTTCACTGTGAAATGATTTAAATTTTTTATATATTTTTTTGTAAGACTTAGTTGATTCTTTCTTAAAACTACATTAGCATGGGCTTTACAAATATTACAGCTGTATTGAACGCGTTAGCAAAAACAAAAGGAGACGTTAACTTGGCGCTGGAGGGTTATTGCTTATATCTTATTATGCTAATCTCTGAATATCATACTTGTTTGTACACTTTTATAACAATAAACCAATACTTTTTCCTTTTAGTTTCTTGTTACACTTAGAATTGTTGAATTCTGACATGGATGACTTTACATTTCGGGAGAAAGACGACACTTCCTCCTCAAAACTGAAGCAACTAAAAGTTTGTTTTGTTTGTTAATATTTTTGCTCTATAGCGCGCCTCTGACTTCGTTTGTTTACGAGGAAATGGGATTTGGAGACACTCAAAAAGTGCTCCAGGCTCTTCATGTTTCCGGCGGAGATCTGGAGCAGGCTGTTGAGGCATTGGAACTTTTTTTTGATATAATTTTTGTTTAGAAGTAAACAGTACAGTGAATGCTTATTTTTGAATTTTAATCTACAAATAAAAAAAATTTAATTTGCCTTATATTGTCTCAAAGGTTTCTTTGAGTTGGATTAGTATAATAACGTGCTTCTTTTGTGATTTATGCAAGACCATAAAAATTATTTTTTACTTATCGAACGTTTCAGGAATGGAACTTTACAGTTGTGTTTTCCATGGAGTTAGACAAAATCAGATTTGTAAATACTTTTTAGTTTTTACTTTCTTTGTTTCTATTCGTTGATATTAAGCTGAGGCAAGTGCAAGCGTGAGTTTTGTGTTTAATGTTTTTACCTAAAATTATCGTTAAAGTTCCAACGAGTGGGGCGGCTATATGTTTGTATTAGTGTGGTCTTGTGCTTCGAGATGCTTAGCTTTTCTTTATAGTTCAATGCAAGCTGGCAGAAATCTAATAAAATTTCTATATTATTAAAAATATTAGTAAGTTTTTTGGTTAGTACAAATATTTTGCTTAGATGTTATTTTAAATAATTTAAAACCTTTGTACAAATTTGTTTTTCTGTATTGTGTTCCAGAGGTACGTAAACTTAATTTAGATCTTGTCATAAATTATTTCTTAGATGTTGATTCACACGCGTAACTCTCCGACGCCAAAAGGCTCGCTTTCCCCCTCCTCCTCTATACACGTGATTCTTTTTCTTGGTTCTTTGATGCCTACTCATTATATTCTGTAACAGAATGAAGAACAGTCTACACTTTTATGGCCTGATATAGAAAGTACTTCTAAGGAATTCGGTTCTTAAAAATTTAATTTTTATTAAGATCGTGTGGAATTATTTTATATAGCAAGAAATACACTTTTACTTTATAAAATATTATTAATTAAATTTTATTTTTATAATGAAATACTTTTTTATATAAAGTTTAGTTGTCTTAATTTAGTAAATTCTCTTTATTATACCTTTGTAATCGTGCGTATCTATTTACACAAATTGTAACCATTGCCAATTCTAAAAGACTATAACTTTTGTCATAAATTTTAGTTTATAGTATAATATTATGTTAAGAAGTTACGAAAAGCACTCGCGAAACCAAAAAGGAAGAGATTTTACGGATATTTGATACACTTTCTCCGCCCTCCAACAATTCTGGCCGTTACTTAAGCCCATCAAAAGAGAGACCGCTCACCGACTCCCACGAAAGAAACTTTTTGGGTGCAAACTTTTAAATAATTTTTAATTTCCATGTGATTTTATCTGGAATTATTGTTAATTGTGAAAGTATCTTATTTCGTAAAGTTGTTCTTTTTCTCTAATTGATTCTACTTTAAAGTATTTTTAATATTTATGAATATTAACTTTGTACAAAATAATTTTTTTACTAGTTAAGTTACCGTAACATAAGTTTTTATAAAAGTTAATTTCATTTATATATTATTAACTACTTTTTATTATTATTCTAATTTATGAATTATTGATTCAAATAATTTTGTTAAATTATTGAACATTACTTATTTTTTTAAAATTAATTTATAACCAAGTTAAAGTTATGCTTCTTGTTCATAATATAACTTTTTTGTGTAATGTTTTTTTACTTTAAAAATTTGTTTATGATAAATCTTGATTTAGTAGTATTATTTTCTTTTATACCGTGATTTTTAGTAAAGTTACACTTAAAATCTTTTACTGTGTAATTATTTTAATTGTTTACAATAACTTTTATTGATATTGAGGGTTTTCAGTCTGTAAATTTATTTTTATAATTATAATGATAAATAATTAAGCAGGTGCCCAGTCTTCGCCCTCTACAAGTGATTCACGAGAGGGCCAAATTAATGTACTTTCTTCAATAATATTTATAGATTATTCTAACTCTTCTGTGCAGCCGTTTAAAGGATTTGAGGCTCCACGTGACTCCTATCGTTCGGATGACCATATATTATGAAATGAAAGTCTTCGGTCCGTCTTATTAATTTTTTAAAGGCACTTGGTTTTATTAACAAGCGGATTGTTCAAATGGTTATTCACTAGAGAACTTTAAGATACTTTAAATTTTTAGTATTAAACTAATAAGCTTATATTACATTTTATAACTTGTAGGAAGTTTTCATAAAAGATCTAGATAACTAAATCTACATATTCTTTTAAAGAAATGTGCTTTAAGATTCAAATATCAAGTATGGTTGATATTATTTTAAACTTAACAGATGGTTTTACTGAAACATAAAAATATTTACAAAATAGAATTTTATTAAAAATATAACAGCCTATAAGTAATTTAAATGTTGAAGGGTATCAGTAATTACATAATTTTTTTGCTCACCTCTGAACTTTAAATTATAATATTATGATGAATGACATAATATTAAAACTTACTTAAAAATTAATTTATTTTATCAAAACAAGTGTCTGCCTGAATGTTTACTTTTTTAAGATATAAATATATATGGATAGCAAAGGACATATATCATGAGGAATTTCACGTAATAGTTTGTTATAGAAATTATATACAAAGATGTACTCGAGTTCCCAGTAATAGCTTATTGCGATCTATAAATTTTTAGTAAATATATGATCCTGTTCTAGCACGTGTACTGGGCTGCTGAGTGAGCAGCGAGGGCGTATTCGTATTCACTCCACCAATCATTAGCTTCGTGTTTATACCATTCGATAGTTTTTTCGAGTCCCTTAATAAAAGCGTAATATTATATAAATGATTATATAACAATTTAGTTTACAATTATATTTAGTTAAGCAAAACTTAAAGTCAAGTAATTCCATTATCTTTTAGTTGAGATGTTATCTCGTGGCCTTTTATTAAAACAATTAATTATTTGTTTACATACGTTTCACTTATAGACATAACCTATGGAAATGTTAAAATAAAGATTTGAATTTAGCTTTAATAACTTATAGTATATAGAGTTATCGAATTTTTGAGAAAATAATTAAAAAATTTAGTTCAAATTGTTAAGTTAATAACACAATACCACATTTTACTCACTTTTTAATAAAATTTAATATAAATAAAAAAAAAAATTAATTTACTTTTTCACTTTATAAAGCAATGATATTACTAATATAGAACTTAAAGTATTTTTTTATAAACTTTAAACAACTGCATTACTTTTTAAATTGTTGCATATCAATTTTTTTGGTATTAAATTTTTAAAAAAGTTAAATTGGAAGCTTTCTGCCGAATTATGTTATATATTTTTAAGAAGGTGGAGTTTGATACAGTCATCTTTCATACTTTCAGTTTGAGATTGTTAGCTTAAGTTATAATATTAAAAAATTATTAATTTTTCATAATAATCAACTCGGAAGTCAACATCAAGAGCAACTATAATTTTCTTCGCAGAGTTATAAATAGTAATCAGCTAATAGCAGTGAATAAATTTTAAACCTGTTCAAAGTCGTGTTGAGCCTGCCATCCCAAATTGGCTAATTTCTCAGTAGAAACAGAGTATCGCTGGTCGTTTATAAGGCGATCCTTCACATATTCGATGTATGTTTCCGCCGCTTCGCCTTCGACTCCTGCAAGGAAAGTTCAATAACTAATACCAGCGGAGTGTTGGTGTCATGGTGATAGAGACCGTGTATTTTGTTAATTACAATCAGTGCAAGTTCCTTAATTGTGTATTCCTCGAAGGAACCCACGTTATACACCTCATGTATTTTCCCTAGTAATATTAAATGTATACATGAATAGTATATATAGGACTTTTTTATAGCTAACTAAGAATGAAAAAAACTAGAATTATAGAATCCCTTTATTACAAAACAAAGTTTTGAAAATTTTTTAACAACCTCGATGGATAATAAGGTCAAAAGCGTCAGCAACCTTAATAGACGAGGCGATCAGAGATAAAAAAAAAAGCTAAAGAAAAAAGTTTGGGTACATCTGAAATATAAACATAAGTACGGCGGGCATTCCCCTTTCCGTGTATGCAACATTTCATGCCGTGAAGTAAACGCAATATAAATTTAGGTATAACCTCAAAGAAATTATATTTGTTATACTTATAAGTACATAAGTACGGCAAATATTTTAAACTAACATAAAAAAAACCTTTTCAGGGAACTGGCGGGGGCCATAGACATTATTTCCTCTTGTTATTATGGCCTTTTATTTTATTATTTCGCTAAAAATATATATTTATGGGATGTTGCAAAGTACCGGAAATTGGAAACTTTTAATGTAGGCCTTTACTACCAACTCAGCAGCTGCTTTAGAAAAAGCGTATGGATTGGTGGGATCCAAGGTCCTTCGACATCTTTATTCGATAATTAACCGAAGGAGTACGGGGATATAAAAACCTTGTTTCTTTAGCCGAATCGTCGGGGATATCGCCATAAACTTCGTCGGTAGAAACGTGAATAAAGCGCTTGACTTGAACCTTACGAGCTCTTATATAATTTTCGTTGTAAAATTATTACAAACTACAATGAAGCAAGAGAATACGCTTCCAGGAGGACGTGAGTGCCTAGTACGTTAGTCTTAGTAAATTCAAGGGAGTTTTTAAAAGATAAATCCACGTGTGATTGCGCAGCAAAATTAAGCAAAGTGTCAATTTTGAAAATTTCCAAGATTGAAAGGACCAAATCATAGTTCTGTATATCTCCTAACAAAAAAAATAGCTGTAAAGGGCGCACACAAGTAAACAAATACTGACCTTTAATAAATTTAAAGTTAGGAAGTTTTAGAAGTCCTTTAATGTTATTTATGCTCGAGCTATACTCAAGCTTGTCGTATACTACAAAGAATTTTTCGGGATATTTGATAGTAAGATGTCGCGATACTTCACCACCGATAAAGCCGGTTCCGCCTTTGTTTGAGTTAAATTTTTTTTGGTTAAATATTTAAAGTAAACGCCTAAATGAAAATATATGCATCCCAATACTACAGTTGTAACCCTTTAGTTATTAAAAGAACAATATAGTAAATAGTAAACCTGTAATAAGGATTGCCTTAGCTTCATAAAAAGACATTTTACGTTGAGAAATATAAATATGTCAAAGTAAAATGGTTTAAAAAAAAATTTATTTTTTTTCAATTGTGCTGTTATTATTTGGTTATCTTTAGATTTCTACCGCAGAGTTTTCAATATACGTTAATATTAAACGTATTTAAAGTGAACTTCTGCCAATAAAGTTCTTTATATAACTTAGTAATAGTGATTTTTTAAATAATTACTTTACAACAAAAATAAAATAAGCTCAGTACTTTTTAAGTAAATTGCTTCTTCACACACAAAAAATGTTCTAGATTTTGTAACTTCTTCCAATTCAATTCCCAACTAGAACACTATTTATGCAAGTGAACGACTTTTAAGCCGAATAAAATTAAAAACAAGTCTTCGACTTTACACTCGATTTTTTGCACGCAGTTATATATTATAAAAGCTGTCCATTAAGGTGAAACCATATAAACTAATGGAGGCGGAGTTCAATCGATATGGTCTTTTTTCCTCCACCATAGAAACTAAAACTCTCTCTACAGGATATTTCGCTGCAGTTAAAACAACTTCACAGCCATTGTTTTTGCAACCCCCTGCGTTACATAGGACGGTTTAGTTTTTTAATGTAGCTAAAAAGTATAAGTTCAGTTTTTAAATAAATAATTTACTAATAAACAGTTGGGCGTAAGGCAAAAATTTTGTGGAGTATAAGGGATACTTAACTAAGTTTAAATGCGTATATACGTACACTAACTACAGTAAGTTTGACGAAATTCAAAAATGAGGAAAACCAGTATGATCTAGATCATGAAGGGAACATAAATTTGGTTTTCTTTAGTTCTTACAGAACTAGAGGTGATTTTGTTAGCCAAGTATGTCCATTGACTCCTTATAGGTTACTGGTTACTATGTTTACCACTCGTCGCCTAGGTTCCGTTTGCAAGAGGAGGTCTATGGAAATTGACTCTAAACGATAGGCTCGGTCTCTGAAACAATCTCTGATAAGTTTGAGTACCAAGTACTAACGGATTAGGCAGCAGCCAACAAAATATAGAAAAGTGGTAAATTTAGTTATTATTGAACGTAAAAAAAAAAAAATCTATTTTAAGCCCCAGAGTTTTGACCTTGCATGTCATGGTTATAAATAGGGAGAGCACTTCCCCGTAGGAGGGAATTTATTTTTTTCTGCTCTGTTTCCTGCATGGAACGGTATAGAGGGGCAGCCTAATTACCGTGTTAAATATATAATTTGTCTAATAAATTATTTATACATTTATTACTATCTTGGGTAAAAATATATCTAAACTTTTATAGCCCCTATCCGCGTTAGTACCATTCTAGGAATAACAATTTTAGAAATAATTAAACTAGAAGAGTGCGCTTCATTTAAAGAAGTAGGCAAGATACGTGTTCTCTTGAGGGAGCCTAAGAGAGGCCCCAGCTTGGTTTTAAAAGGAAATTTACGGTAAAAAATAGTAAATTTAAAACAGTTTAACGTTTTCAAAATATACATAAGTATTACCTTTAAAATCATTATCTTTTACAGTGGATACACCAAGTACTCGCCACCGAACATTTCTTAGGTCTGTTTGAGGAAAGGACTGACCTTATAGTAAAGTTTATTATTCTATAATAGTACTAAAATTTAACTATGATAATATAATGTGTAATAAATTGCTGCTACTTCCTTATTGAAATGCGCACCTTTTAGCTGTTATGATTAACCACATTTGTTCTTGTTGACGGCGAAATAACTCGTTAAAGGAAGCGAGGTCCCCTCCCTCTCTTGTTAAAAGCAAATTAGATAGAGCATTAGTTAATAGCAAACCAGATCTGTGGCGAGCCAGTGCTATAAATAAAATAGTAAGTTAACTTCCGCCCCCTACCCTAACTTGGGATAACTTAGACCTATGTGGTGGGCGCCCTCGACGCACTGCGACGCCACTGCTACTTGGATGAAGCACTGCTCTTGGAAAGAAGCACTTTAAGCTGGAAAGGCAGGGACGGGACAAAAATAAGTTTTGCGTATGGTCATCGTATTTCAGTGAGCAATATATAAAATGAACTTGCTCTAAACTAACATTAGTATTATTATTATGGTTTACTATTGGTATTATGGTTTTCAAGGATTACTTTGTTAATTGCCCTCAATGTTACTCTGTTACGTTAAGTACGGTAAATCCGGCAGTTACCCGTTCATTTCTAATTATTTTATTCATTAAAATGTTGAAGAGTAGGTAATAACTGTTAGTAAAAGAAAAATTGAGCTTCATGAGAGTATAACAACTAAGTAACAATAAGTAACAATATAGGAATGACGGAGAAAAAAGTAATAACACTAAGAAATATAATTTTATAAATAATGTTTAGGAAAGCGAGTACAAAAAAATGCTGAAGTTGACTGCGTAGGAGGGCTAATTTAAACGATATAAAATTAAGTCCGTTCTTGCCAACTTTTTCAGACCACTATGCTCTGTACACAGCAATTAGTTTTATCTTTTAAATGTGCTTACTCTCACCATATACTTCATTAGAAATAACCTAATTTTTTTTAGCTTACAATATTTACTATTATTTGAGTGTATAGATATATTTCTATCTGGGAGCTTTAATAACAACATTTTTGCTAATTTTTTATGCAAATAAAAGCTCCGCAGGTCTTAAAAACGCTAAATAGAAGCTTGCCCCCAATCAATAGTTGTCGTTGAAGAACTTTGTAGAGTAGCCTGATTTAAGAATAATTGCATTTTATATAAAAAAGGGTTAATTAGTACTCTTTCTTCACCTAATACACAAAACTTGAATTACGAAGATGACATGAAAGAAGACAACTAACTCTAGGGTTACCTTTACTCAATTACAAAAAGAGTAATAGTTTTTAATAAAAACTGCGAGCGGTAACAAAATAATATAACTACAATAATTGTAGAATTGCTCTTATTTTTATGCTTACAACCAGATGATAATAAGAATAACACAACAACCTATAAGCAAAAATTCTATAGTTATAAAAGTTACTCTACCGCGACAATATCGATCCCCCCTTCCCCCAAAGTTAATGAAGAGAGGAACCCAGACTTAAAGACTAGACTACGTTGCTTGTGTTGCTGCGAGTACCCATTAAATACCTTTTTTCCCACTAGAATTCGCCATGATTACATAAGAATAATATTTTTGCCAGGGGTAAAGGTGAATTTCAAAGTCGTTTGTTGAAAATTATTAACTAACTAAAAAGGCTTGCAACTTCCGAAAACGGGGACCAAGGGAACAAGAAACTTTAGCAACAAGTTCTAGGGGTACCACATAATCACATGCTTACGGGAGAGAAAGCGTAGTAATACTTTACCTATCTTTTAAGAGAATAAAAGCTTCGACATTTATTTGGTTGGGACCAACTCGCGTGCTTAGGGTAACATGTTCCACCCTAAGGTACATACTATACGGAAGATGCTGACTGCCATTAGAGCTCCTACGTATACCCAGAACTGACAATAAAAAGATTCAAAATTGGCGTCCATCTTTCACTTGTAAAATTCCAACCGGTTTTGGCGATATTGGATAATGCTACCAGTATCCCACATTATGTCACATTGCAAGCTCGGGGTTAAAAGAACAGTGAGCACGGTGCACGTAACTATTAGGCCTACAAGCCCAAGGCATAGCACGATAGCATCGTATCCCCTAAGGTTCCAAGTTTTAATAGCTTTCGCTTTCAACAATATAGGTCAGATTTTGCATTGACGGAAGATCCCTCTGAATTATTTTTACTAAGTTCATTGAAACTGTAGAACTTTATGAAATTTATTAACTTTGCCTTTGCTAGTTGGCCCAGGAGAAAAGGGTTATCAACAAGGCTATAAACTAAACTTACAATAATATCTGGCAGAATCTTTGTTCAATAGGATTAGGATTTACATACCGGGTTAGGGAGTATTTAAAACTTAATCTCTCTATATGATTCTGAAACCTAGACGTACTGCATTTTAAGTCCTCTCCTTTATAGCTCTGACAATTTAGTTCATCACTCGCTTGAGGAGTTCACGCATCGTGAAAATATCGATGTGTTACCAGCGAAAGTCATGTATTAACCCGCGTCCAATATAACTAAGGCAATACTTAAACATATACGCTACTACCGCTTTTATAAAAGAAATGGGAGAGCAGCTATTTAGATCAAACGAGATATTTAACACAATTTAATATCTTTGCCAGCTTTGCAATATATAAAGTCTGTTAAAGTCGCCCTCTCTTGAGGAACTGCATATTGCTCTTAAATCATTCTATATTTATTGATTCAAGCTTCTGGTTCAAGTTTTATCTTCATTCTAAAAGCATTCGCCATTTCGGGTAAAATATTATTTCTAATTCGTAATAATTCTAGTAAACCTACTTCTAAATGCTTTTCACATTCGCGTTGAAGTTATTTCATTAAACAATGACTTTACCTCTCCCCTTGTATTACTGAGTTTTACAATCAATGGGTAGAACAAAGGGTTACTTAACCTAATTTTGATAACTTATAACAGTGCGATACATACGAAAACAGTGAGAAAGTGCTTTACCCTTGTAACTCTTAATATTAGTCTTTAATTCAGGGCTTGCCTATCCGAAGATGGGCTTGCACATAAAAACTGAAGACTTAATAAGAAGACTAGATATATATCACACACGCTATCTGGCTCATATAATGAAATGAGAGCAGACCTTTGTAAGAAATCTCCGACCCAGAGGCTGATTATATAACCATACAAATGTATTAATCAATTTTAGAAGCTTTCTGAGGGCTTTTAACTCTAAAGATAGCAATTTTAATACCGTAATGATAAATAATTATAAGAAAACTACAGTACTACTCGGGTTGCTGTCAAGCAGTCTACTAAGGTAGATAAAAAATGATTTACTACATATACAATTGAAAAATGTGAATCAGAATATAGAGATTTCCAACTGAAGTAAACACCACTATTTTACCCTGAAAGGGAGCATTTTTAATAATCTCGTATAGCTGTATAAACAGGGAAAAATTATTTACTTATGTAGCTGAACCACTCTTTTTGGTTACGGC